GCATTCTTGGATGCTTTTCCTCCGCGTTCCCTCCATCATTCCTGCCGTCGCTGTTGTCCTGCACTCAATTCGTTTTCTTTATTTTCCCTTAGACGGAAGTCATGTATGCCGGCTGCACATCCTTTATGCCGTGAAAGGAACGCCGCAGAGCTGCAGCCGTTGCCGTTGCCGGGCCCAGGCCCAGCCCCTGGAGCTACGGCTAGGCGACTCCAGCCGGACAGACCAGCGCTGCACATCCACATATTTAAGCCATACATATAGATAATCGCTTTACAATCAGGCAGGAAACTATTGCAAGCATGATTGTTTCCGCGGAACGTGTTTGCTGCGGAACGGTTTGAACCGTAGCTCCGCTAGGGCAAGGGACAACCAAGGAAACACTTATATTGGGAGACAGCCGAATAAGGAAATATTATACATAGTATAAAATTATCGTTCTTGGAATAGGAATAATTTGAGGGAGTAATTGATATTGATACATGCTTTCAAAGTACGGAAACTGGATTCTTCCTTTCACTTAGGACTAATTTCTCCTCTTTTTGCATATCGATTATCTTTTTACTAATAGAGGTTAAAAAAAATTGTATTCAAACTTTCTAGGAGACTTTTGTTTAACGTTGCAAACCTCATCAGCCCGTCGAGCGAACCTTTGCCGAGTGGCAAGATAAACTAGGTGTAATAACTAACCAACAAAACTGACTGCTTGACCTTACCGAACCCGCACCTGTGAGAGTGAAAACTGTAGACCGTTAGTCAATTTAAAGACCAGCCAAACGAAAAAAGGGCAATCGAAGAGAGTTTGCTTAACAGAGGCCAGGCGATGCCGAGACCGCAAATAAATTACCAGGCCACGTTAAAGATTTGTTAATAAAGATAAATTTACTTATCGTTTATCTTGATTATGCAAAGAGCCTAAGTGAAAATTCACAGACCCTCAGGTCGGGGGAGGAAGATTGGGCGGATCCCAACAGCAAAACACAAAAAGGCAGTCGCCTCTGGCACTCGCCAGACCTCCTTCCTAGGAGGGAGCATCTGAGCCTAAAACTTTTTCATTTCCTCGTGGCAGGCGACCAGAACATCCAATGAGGATGATGAGGCGCAGGCTGAGGACTAGGAGCAGGAGCAGAAGCAGGTCGTCCCTGGTAGATGGGGCATGAATAAACATAATACATATATCAATGTTTTATAATAAATTAAATAACTTGTCGGCCGATCTCGGAAAGGCTAAGCAGCATTTGCCATCTCCCATTTTAGGCCTTACTCGTAGCATGCTTGCCCCAGGCTAAGAAATCTCTTTGAGAATGCCGTCCTGCCGGGTAGTGTCACAAGAGCCAAGTCGGTCTCTTGGCTCCTTGAATACCCCCGGCACTGCTGACAGATTCTGATTAACTTCTTAGCGAGTCCTTCTGCCGCTGTGCCTTGAAATTTTCTTTTCACAGACCACACAATGGCGTTGGTCGCTCGACATTGTTTGTGGATGGGCACCGATGTATGGGAAGTCCACAAAACCGCTTACATGACGAAAAGAACGAGGAAAAACTATGTTGTAAGAGACTGATACGAAAAATACTGAGAGTTCTTGTAGGTTTTAGTAATATTTAATAAGGGATGTCGTAAGCCTTCTCTTTTATACGAGCCTTGGAGAATACAATTTTAAGATTAATCATAATCTTATTACATGTTAAGGCAAGTCAATTTTTAGTTGGCATCATTTTGACACCTATTTATCAAAGAGAATCGCTGTTATGGTCAAAAGATCTTCAACCAGTTAGTTGCGTTAGAAAGTTTAGAAAGCAAACGACAGCTGAGGAGCAGTCTTGATAAAGAATTTCCATTTGCCCATCCAACGTCCAGATAACAAAGGGTATTTTGCAGATCCTGATCAAGAATATACTATATTCGGGTATGCAAAAAATAACAAAACAACAAAATCTCTTCATCGAAAATACTGTATTTTACAGATTAGTATTTTTGATTCCATTGAATGTGAGTACCTTTCCATTCCATAGTACAGTACTTGGATGCACTTCATCCGACCAATCTGCCACTTTCCAAGAGGACAAAAAAGAAAGCTCCTCAACATTCAAATTTACTGAAGTGGAGAGCAGAAACAAGTACTGAAAATAATTTACACATTTATCGGCCAGAGCAAAAATTGTAGCTACATTTATTATGCAATTTTATAGCCAAAACCAAGTGCAAATAGTTTGCTGACAGAGACAAGAGCCGGACAAGAGCTGGAGGTGCAGGTGCGGGCACAGGGGCCGGTGGAGACCCTTAAAACCAAAAGCTCAATCAAGAGGGAACGGAACTCGGCCAGAGCAAAGTTCAACTAACAATTTGTTCGTCCCAGTGAGAGTGAGGGTCATTCAGGAGAGCCTCAGACCAAACAGATTGGTGGGTTCACTTGGTTACAGTTTGGTGAGCACCGAACGGACACACTTTAAAATTTGCTGGGTCTGTTGCTCGGGTATGGTGTGGGTATGGTGTGGGCCTGGCCAAAGGTTTTTATTTATTGGCATATAAACCACAAATAGCAAACATGCCAAGATGGCAACGCACCCACAAAACTTTCGGAGAACCCACAATACATAAATATTTCATGTCTTGACTTTCAATTTCAGTTTTTTCTCCTCCCACTCGCAGGACTGTATCCTTTCCCATTCCGTTTGGTCTGTCTGTTTGTTTGTTTGTTTGCTTATTTCGAATGTGGGGGAAACCACTTGATTTAAAATGTTTTATTTATGCGCACGATTATTATTTTGGGCTCTTCGGAGGTCTTTCCAAAACCCGATCCCGATCCGGCGCCCCCACCATCTTTTGCATGCTGTGGTCACCTAAAGGCATTTTATCATAATCGAATAGAGGAGCTGGAGCCGGAGCCGGAAGGGGACTCGGATGGGATTCGGATGGGATGGGAATGGAATGGATTCGAATGGGACGGAATGTAGTAACTGTGGTCATGGACTGCCTGATTGCTTCAATGGTTTCCTTCTTCTGATGCGGGTCCATTGTACATACATATATCCACATATCTCTGCAGAAGCATGTGTGTATGCGTATAAGTGTGCGTGTATATCTTCGAATGTCCCTGAGGAAGCATTTTCTGCTATAGTTGTATTTTCCTGAACACATTTTATTATCGCATTTATTGACCATCATATTTACGAGTATTTTATGGCATGTTAAATCGCTTAAAAAGCTTGCCGAAATTTCAATTCTGCTTCGCTTCTCCTTTCCCTTTCCCTCATTGATTACTCCCACATCCTTTGTGCCTTTTGTCCTTTGGCAAATTGGCACGATTAAAGTAATAATATTTAAATGGAATATCTCGCTTCGCTTAATTAAACGCTTCCGACTGAGAGGCTGCTGAGCTTATAAATTGAATATGAGCTTGATTAAAATCATTCGCATTTCAACCCAAACTCAGCCCAGCAATCATGCTTTCCAAATTTAATTAACTGCTTTTTCCAATTGCACAAATTCTGCAACGCATAATTGCATATTCTCTGTGTGGTGTGTGCTGGAGTGCACAAAATCAGCTTGAGACTGCAGCTCACCTTTAATTTGTCTCTAATAGCATAATGCCAACGCCATAGTGCCGCTCAATTCCAGCCTTGTTTGTTTGGGCCAGGTCTGGGCTTTGTAATTTTAATTGAATGCAAACATGTTTGTTTGGTTTTTAGTTATTTAACTTGCATTTTATTCGGTGATTATGCCAGCTCTAATTATTATAACAAATTAATTCAGCTAGCTATTGAACACTTTCAAATTAATTTAAACATCACATTTATTGGCATTAGGTCACATGAGAAAAATAAGAAAGTACAGTCGTTGTCGAAAAGTTTAGAGTCGCGATGGTTAATTTTCCGAATATCGAACTCGACGTAGCTCAGAATCGGAGGCATCGCGGACGGTTACTTTGTCAAAGTTGTAGCAGTGAATCGAGCAGTAAATCTGTGCACCATGGCATCGGTAAACCAGCTAAAATAACAAGGGGATTTATTGATAATTATTGATCAGCAGTAAAGTTTTTGATCTGTTAGCCATATGAGGGATTTGGTAGGAAGCCACAGAGAGCAACAGAGTCTGTAGAGATAACAGAGCAAGCAACAGAGAGAGAGAGACTAGAAGCGGCCGTCGAACAAAGAGAGGAGAGAACACAGCCTCAACGCCATTTAATTCGGTGCCAAAGTCTCACTCGAAAACATTCATAAATAAAGACTTATTATAATAAAAACTGGCAACCTGGACTAAATTATCAATACGGAAAACCCGGGGCCATACATTTATATGTATATCCAATCACCATATCAGATCAAATAACTTTAATATATGAGTAGTGTTTTTCAAAACTCAATATTTCCTAATCGGCAGGATAAATATTAATGTAACTTTCAGACAATGCAGCTAAAAATATACGCAGTCTAAAATGATATAAGAACAGTTTTGAACGAATATGGGTGAATATTTTAGTTTTTTTGAGAATTTAATAGTTTTTGAGATCTTGAGATTTTAAGGAGCGCGTGGTTTTTCTATTCATATATTCATAAACGTATATTTCTTTGCCAATTGAAATCGTTGCATTACTGTGTTGGAGACTCTGTAAGCTTCTCGGTCTACGGTAGCCCCCAATTCCCTTACAATTGGGCTGTTACCATGTGATGTGGAACATAACTCCCAAGAAGAAGAACTACCATGTATGGAACTGTACAAACCATTCGATATGCCTTGGGTATGGTTTAATTTATATTGAGATTATATCATAATATAGCTAGCTGGGGAAGTGATTAGGCAATTAAAAGAGTTCAAAGTATTTCAGAGATAAACAAAAAATAAAGGACAAAATACACAAACTGAAATAAAGATACGAATTTTTGTCCATTGTTGCTGAGAGTGCAATAGATAAAGTATAGAAAGATTGGAATTTGTGGAAATAAGACACTATCTACAGAGAGATACAAATAACAGACAATTGAGACAGAAAAGGTTTTAAAAAATTAAGAATCGGTGCAGTCTGTCCAAATCTGACAAGAAAATATATTTTCTTATTTACTCAGTCGAGATTTGCGATGGTTAAGTACGACTAAGCTGCATCCTAGATGAATTCTTTTTGTCTAGCATCCCCTGCCACCCCAGGCCGGACCAAAGTTAAGTCTACACCATTTCTGAACTGTTGGCGAGAAGGAGAAGAGTCCGATTAAAAATGTATTTTGTTTGAGGAATTAATCAGCCGAATTTACTTACATTGTGCTTGGCTTTGCTTTGGCGTTGGCCTTCGCGAAGTCATACGGCCCCAGGCCGGCACGCCCACAGCCGCTTCCACGAGCATAAGGAGTAGCATTGCTGAAGTTGCGACCTTCATTTCTGGTTGTCTGAGTTTTGAGTCTGGTTCGAGGTAGTCTATTAGCTAGGCTATTTATAAGCAGAAATTGTTGGATAATACATGGTTACTATACCCATTCGATGTGCTTATGATATGGTACGTCTCAGATTAATGTCTCAGATTAGATACGATTATTAGTAATAGCGGAAGTGAATACGATCTACGAGTATTGAAGGACACATTTGACACCAGCTGCGGTGGTGTCATTTCCCATATCTGATGATTATAGTTACCAAAAGTCATGTAATCTCCAAAGTCTGGTCTGAGAACAGATGAAACTAAGCCAGTGCTGGAGGGACGACTAAAATCCCCCAATTCGATGGCCATAATATGTCGTCATTGCTCAGTCACTGAAATTAGCATGATTTTATGGTAACCATAACCCCTCAGGCTATGGAAATCAGCGATGCATTGTTGCCGGTCGATGGCACTGGCTGCCAATAAATTTCATGCAAGAAATCGACGGTCCGGCAACTGGAGCTGAAAGAGTGAAAGGCGGAAAGCAGACGGAACGGAGAAGAGAACTTGCAGCTTGTTCGTTTTCAGTCCTCCTGCCTGCCTGGCCTGTCCTGGGTAGCCGCTGGAAAATGGAGGTCAAAGTTTGAGCGAGAAAATGCCGTTTTCTTACCAACGAACCTTGTGAGTAAAAAGAGGGAATAGCAGAAATATTTACAAATAGGCTGAGTTTCAATAAATTTGGAAAGTAGTCTCGGGAAAAAATATTGGTTTATTTTTATTGATCATATGCACATGATCAGTTCCGGTAATTTAAATTGTGCTCCCGTTTTCATAAAACGCAAGATTTTTCTGTTTTCAAAACAAAAGAATTTTCCTCGCTGAAATGAAAACTAAACAGCTTTTAATATCACAAAACTAATATCTAAAGGAAAAACAAGATTACTTATTGAAGCATTGACATAAATTTGACAACAGGTCAATTTAGCTTGTGTATTCTCCATCAATAATTGGTTTTTTAACCCAACCTCAAAACCGATTGCGTTTTTGTGCTAACAGTTGACGCAGCCAGATTCGGCAATGCACTAAATTGTGCGCTTAACAGCACGAAGTGAGAAACATGAGAAAATGTAACAACAATTTGCAAAAAAGGAAGAACGTAAAAAAACTGAACGTAATGAACTGAACATTTCCGCTGTGCATCAAACCGACTTTTTTTTTGTTTGCTTATTGTTTAAAATTTTTTTTTTCTTTTTGTTAATTTAAAAAATCCGTTATTTTGTATTGTTTTTTTCAGACGTAGAGCGTTTTTTTCACATAGCTAAAGTATCTTGCATCTGGTTGTATTGAACTTTGCAGTTCTGAAAAGCTGATAAATTTAGCTATATATTGGACTATATATATTGGACCAAGGCACTTTGTAGCTTAAACTTACCGTCTTGAAAATATTAAGCTTTTAAATTAAATTTTTTGCGGATTATTTTTAAATTTTGACTTGGAAAACTCGGCAAAAGTTGAAATGAATTAGTTTCTCGTGTTATATTTTTTTTTACGGCAAAATGCGGCATTTAGTCTAACGGCTGCACCTTAACCATTAATCCATCGATTTTTACAACCGAAACCTGGAAAGACAGCAAATTAAAGTACCTACATATACAACAAGAATACAACAACACAGTCTTCAAAGTAAATATTTAGAAAAAATAAACCGGAAAATAAGATCAATTTTAGATTTGAGAGATTAATATTTTCCAACTAAAATACAACGTACTCTTAATATTTATTTTTTTAAATATGATATCACAGACCACCAGAAAAAAACAAAAGTGGTCGAAACTAATGGGGGAAACTAATTTGAAAAATTCATCGGAATTGCTTGAGACTCGTTGCTCGGGGGTTTTTGGGGTCGCTGATTACGTGGAGGCTGGATTTTTCTTTCCCCGAATGAATTTCTTTAAAGCTATATGCAGAAAAAATATTTATCCTGATCTGTAATAAAATATATACTTAGTTAGTTCTAAGTTATTCGTTTTTGATCAAATCAAAAAATCGAATGTTTATAGAAACGCATTCGATTGATTAAGGAACGGGTGAGCCGTCGCCTTCCACAATTAATCCGATTATTAATTATGCAACATCACAAATCATGGCATATCGATTTTCGATGACTTTTACATTTTCCAGCCATTGTTCCTTCTTCTGCGGCGCCGGCTAATACTTACTCACAAATTTGTGAGACTATAACACCATTTTTATCACACTTTAGTTTCATTGCTTCATAAGTTGAGAGACTTTTCTTGTCCGGCTTACCTATTGCTAATATTTAGCAATTTCAGTCACTTACAATTCCCTATGAGATATCTTTAGTGACAGCTTCCTATAATGTACAAGTACATCAAGTTTTACGTTGAGAAATGCCATGAATATGGTTGTCAATACAATACGTTTCCTAATTATTATCGATATGTGGTTACGATTATGATTCTTTTATAGCATTATAATTCAGCAGAATTGAAGTCCAGATTTGATGAGCGTGAGTTTCTAACTGTAAACAAATAATACCAGGTCCTAAGTACTCTTCTTTTCTGCATATGATAGAAACAAAAATAAAACATGAAAGTGTCTTGTTCAAATGGAGAGCCCATAAATATTAACTCGAATTGAACTTCGTTTGTGTTATGCTATCATACTTTAATTCACTTTAAAGTCCTGGGGGGACAAACAAATTGGACAGAGATAAAAACGAAGCAACAAAAACCAAAAGCAAATCCTTTAAATGTCATATAAAATAATTAAAATACTTTCCAACAATGGCATTTCGTGCGGGACAAAAAACCAATTTCAAAGCCATCAAAATTAGGTCAATTGATTTTTACAGCACACAATGACAAACAAATGGAAACAAAAGTACACATATTTAAAAGCAATTTTGAATGTGCAAGAAGTAAATGAATACCGATATTTTTTCCAAATAAATATAAAATATTGCAAGTGTCGGCCGCAATCGTTCAACAATTGGACAGAGTTTTCAAGAGCTCTATACGGGCGATCTTTTTCGACGGACAGCCTCATTAAAACTAATAACTCTTTTATGGCTTTCGGACTGGACGTGGCATGCGTAAAAGTTTTTGGCCAAGCAGCCGACATATGGCCGAGCTTATAAGGAACGGAGGCGAGAGTAGGGGTAAGATAAGCCAATGGATTACCGACCAGCACATGCTCGGAAACCATTATACCTAATGACTAGGGCTAGACAGCCTTAATGGGTTGACTTAGTCGGGCACATGACAATCACTCATACGCTCTGATGACTTTTAATATTTCGCCACTGAGTTTTTTGTGCATTCAGGAGCTTCCATAGCATAATCACAATTGAATCATTTGGGCAAACACACGACTTTTGACATTCAATTTTATTACATTTTAGTTTGCATAATTTTCCTATGGTGTAGTAAACATTGAGAAATGATTTGTTTTTTCTCTCCTGTGCTGTAATCCATATACTACTATTGCTGGATTATTTATGAATTTACTAGCAGTGGCTATGCATTTTACTTTAATTATGCAAATTGAATTCCATTCATGCATAAATATACCGAGCCGAGCGACTCTTGCTCCGAGAGTCTGACTTTGTGCTCTCCCCCAGCCACTCGCAATTTGCATTTGCATTTACTTTTGAATTTTTATTAGGAAATTAGCACTTATGTAAATGTTTTAGAATTTCCCTGCCTCCGAATACTCGAATCATATTTGATGTTTGCCAAAACGAGTCAGAGAGAGCAGAATAATAAAACAAAAACAGAAAAAAGCAAAGCAACGTAATAATAAAGTTTTATTGCTGCAAGTCAGCAAGAAAATTTTGTGTAGTTTGAAATGCATCAAAGCATACCCCTATGAATATGCATTGGAAAATTTGCTGAAACGGAATGAGGTTTCCACTTTTGAATATCAGATGTGCACTTCCCCAGAAAACGCTGCAGCATAATGTACGAGTAGTTGATGTCTTAATGGAATTTACTCACTCGTACACTTCCCAAAATCAGACCAGTTTTCCCTGGCATGCAAAATATTTGGACTTCGACCAACCCTCAACTTGGCCTCTTGTTTGACATTTTGCTTGGACTAATTTGACACTCATCAGTGTCAAGCTCTTAACTTGCTTTGCCACTAACAAGCATGCCTCCTCCACGATGAAGGTCAGAGAAAGAGGCACTCAGAGGCACAGAGAGCCAGAGGGGCAGGAAAAGATATGTGTGTGTGCTACTTGAAGCCCAATTGACATTTTTCGTCCTGCATGCCTAGGCCAGTATCCGAATGGTCAGTTCATCAGCCGTTCAGACAAGCGCAGACCTTGACTCGACTGGAATTTATCTTTTGTTGGGGAATAATGCTTTATTTCTGCCTCAGAATGTGTGTGTGCCATGCCCTGTAACGCCCATTGAGCCTTCGGAATTTATTTAAGCCGCTTTAACCAGAGGAATGTGTAATGCCACCCATTTACTGCATTGAATAATTTGCCAAAAATGCTCGTAATAAGCACAAGACAGCAACTACAATGCTGAGCAATCCAGGTCAATTAAAATTATGAGATTATTCAACATGGCCACAGTGGGTATTCAGGATGAATTAACCGAATAAAGACTTAATGATCTGTTGTTAGTTGAAATTGATTGTTTATTGCTCATAACATTTTAAGACTCTGCATCGAATACTCTTTATCTAGGATGTATGTATGTCTCCTCGACTATAAGTGTCAACAGTTAGGTTAATCATAAACTTTCTCTAGAGCTGTCCCAACATCGATCGCATTCTTATTCCGTTCCGTTATTGCGACTTAAATTTTATATCTAGAATTTAGAAAAAACAATAAAAAAAAAACAAACAATATGAAATCTGCAGCTATATATACATATATATATATACTAACGGTTTACCTGTCTAACCAAAATAGTAATTCCTTCAGCCATTGTATAAAATGGAAAGATTGCTCGAGTTTGGTTTCTGTTGATGGCATAGTTTTGTTGATGTCCTTTTGCTG